AAATAAATAAATTGTAATATGCTTGTAGGTACCTTAGACCAAAGACGCAATTAATTTGGACTTAAGCAAGGGCCAATAAAGAAATGTAGACTCTGTTAGACGTTGTTTTTTATAAATTTATTAGTATTGTGTCACTATCATTGTAGTTAGGTAATATTCATGACGATAAAATGTTTCGTGGGGTATTAGGCCCATAGCACATGGCGTGTTTTAGGTATAGGTACCACCCGTATTAGAAACACGCGTCTACGGCGCCGTAAACACTGATTGTTGCAAAATTTGCATTGATGATACAAGCGCGCGCATGAAGCGCGTATACGAGGGACAAACTCGCGTTTGTTACAATTGTCTTATTGTGTGTTACGATACGAGTATGAGCGACTACAGCGCGCATATGCGCGTATAGGCACGTTTTTCGATCACTAGCGGTGCTTAGGTTTAACTCGATCACTAGGTGTGCTTAACCTAGGTTGCGTTCGAATCTCGTATAGAGCGCGTATCAAAACACGCCGTGTGCTATGGGCCTTATATTAATTAATTAGGTATATAATAGCATAACATCAAAATATTTACTACACATTACATTTCTTCGGACTTAACCGGAAAAAATAATAATACTTCGCCCCACAAAGAAATCGAACTAAAAGCTCAGCTCAGTAAACTCACTTGCGAACAATCAATCAACTACACAACGCCACAATAAAGCAGTTGTCTCTGCCTATCTTCCGGCGACTTCGTGCGTATAAAGAGGTGATTCGCGTCTTTAGTTACCATTGCTGTGGTAATTTAGGGAAATCTTCTCTGTACTGAAACCCTAGAGGAAGTTTAGTACCCCTGACACCCTCAAGAAAATCACATGCTAACTTCATGAATGACATGCAATGCAGTAGTTACGTCTGTGCTATGTCGGCAAATGAGTCACTTTACAGAATAAACGGAAAGGTCTAACATTAATATTCGATATTCGATTAATGCAGTGCAGTGGGCGGAACGCACCCATGTTGATGATTCCAAGTAATTCGCTATGTTTAACTTCGATACATATTACGAACTGTTTACCATAATTATTATTTTGAACATTATTTCAAGAAAAAATTGTAGCATATTTGAATGGTATGCGGTATGCCTACACCCACGGCATCACTTAATAAACAATGTGTCATGGAACTTGTGGTCGTGCAGCAGTCGCGAGCTCGCGACAATGAAGGTTGTGCCACTCGCAGCTGTAGGCTGTTGTAGGCTACAGCCTAGTGTAGCGTGTGTGGCAGTGGTTTATTTGTTCGCAGTGGGTGCCTCGGTTATTTTTAGGAACAGTATGTGGCTCACCTTGGCTGCTCTGCATAGTGCATCCCACTGATGCCGCGGTGGCCGTGCTTCGTGAACTTGTACATACATACATATACTTCCACTCAAAGGCAGCTCGAATCATTTAAAAGAACTTGACTCTAGCTTGGATCTAACAAAATATCGAAAAAATTAAATGAATAGAAAATAGAACAAAACAAGTTCAATTCTGATACTTTTATTACCTACCAAAGTCAAAACCAAATTGATTACTCTGGGTTTGGGTGTAACATAATTATTACAAACTTGCTACTTCCGCGCGGCTTTACTCGCTCTTTTGCTCGATTTGGAAGGCATCTTCAAGTTTCTGGATTATACCGTGAAATATATTTCGTTTTCGTCTTAAAGTAAAAATGTTCAGTTTTGGTACTTAGATAATAAGTGCAATAGTTTAACAAAAAATAAAATGGTTAAAATATAATAACCAATGCAAACCATTGCAAAAAGAAAACTTCGAGAGCGCAAACGAACTCATAGTCTATGTACATTGTAATAACTTCGCGCCGCGTCATGAACCTAATTCTCGAAGGTGGCAGTGGCACGTGTGATGCTAAATTAATAGTGCCTACAAATTTACGTAGGTAGGTACTTACTTATAGTGTTTCATGTGCGTATTTCCAAGAATTTTTTTACAGTAAATAAAAATACAACTTTATTTTTGGTACATTGAAAGTACTCCTTATGACAAGTTGTTTTACCTACCGCGAGACGAAATCGAAATAGATTTCAAGGTGTATAAATTATTTGTACATTGAAAATAGCAACAAAATAAATAGTGGATTGTGATACTGGATAGATACCGAACTCAAGAAGTTGATTAAAAGAATCTAGTCTGTCAGAAAACTACCGGTCCGATTCATCCTGACACTGGGCACTTTGTAACCCGTAAAAGTACCCGAGCGTACGGCGCGTCGCGTGCCGCGTGCCGCGCGTTCAGATGGGGCCCAATACGGCCGTATCATACGATTTACTTACTTAGTAGCTAATAATTTGACCTAGGAAACGATGTATGATAGTTTTTATCACAGAGAGGAACGGGAACTATGAGTTAAAGCCGGGACTATCTATCTCTTAACCATTGAACTTAGAATTAAGAGAGATTCGGTACAGCAACAGTCGATAGAATATTATATTTTCATCACTAAAACCTTACGGGTACGGGCACTGTGTACTGGAAATATCACTGCGTGACTATTTATTTTTTAAACCACGATTAATTCATTTCACAATAAATATCACTAATCTCTAGGCATTAAATCGGTTCTGATGAATTCGGCCAGAAGTCATTAATCTACGCGGACGACGTCGAGGGCAACAGCTTGTTAACAGATAAGCATTGCAGATGTGATTGTATTCCCTTTCATGGCGTTCACCTGATGGTCCCTACCTACCTAAGCAATCGGCGCCGCTCATGGGAACCCGGAACGAAACACTAGAGATACTTACCTATAAAACTGTTTTGCCGGTTTTTTGGTGTTAGGGATTTGAGAATTGAGGATTTGGGGATTGGGAGAAGGGGAAATGGATCGCATGGCGAAACAGTGTTGTGTTTCGGTTCCTTGTTTCACGCCCATTTGGTTGTCAAAGTCTGTGTCTCTCAAACTAAGGTAAACAAACAGCTAGGTAGGTACAATATTTTGTTTTAATGAGTAGGTATCTCTATTTTCAAAATTAAAAGTAAACAAACTCCAAATATATAATTTATTTGTCATTATACCAATACCAGTCTGATAACGTACCTACCTGTTGATAAGCCTCTACATATCTCCAGCTGTCGATCATTATAAGAATCGCCGATGTGAATATAGGTACTAATTAGATAAATAATTCACTCAGCGTTTTAGCTACAAGGACTCCATAGTGCGCTGTGCAAGTTCCTACCTATACCAACTGTAATTCCATGTAGATAATAATATATTTAATATCATATCACGGACTGCAGACGGTATCAATAGACTGTGTTCATTCCTTAAAAAATCACTAGGGCTTTACGTTGTAAACAAGCGATAATTTTTATGAATATTCAGTTAGATCTATACAATTGGCTTAATGTCAATTCTGAATTGGTGCTAGTGACAGTCATGAGATGGCGCCACCGTCGCCCGTGTTGGGCCTTCGAAGAGTGACTTGGGTCGTGGAGCTTGGAGATACACCGGCGTATGCTCATGCGCCGTATGAGAAGCACCTATCTACTAGTAAATGTGAGTATCTATCAACTATTTACCTTTTATCAGTACCAGTACTGTAGTCTGTATGACACTGAAATCTGACAATTTTGAGATCGAAATATGTAGTCTCAGTCCTAAAAGCAACAACAATAAGAAAACAAAACAACAATAACAGAAAAATAAAAAATTGTAATTAGCCGACTTCAAAAATAATGATTTACTATAATAAATTTTTAATTGGATTCTTATACTTAATATATTTTAGTTATTTGTACTTATACCACAAAAATTAGAAAATTAAAATTCAGTTATAAAACTAAAACCCGAGAGGATAACCGTGGTCGTATGTCACACTGCTCTACAGAACTTTGTAATGGCATTTTTTTCATATTTATCCTGTTTTTTGGAGATTTAATGTGTATCTAATGTACATATATGCTAGTTATGCCGTTTCATTTGATACCAAAAACGCGATATACTCAGACAAATTTCTTTCTTCATTCACGATCTTTTTGACTTCTTGAGGGCACCATAATTGCAATTTCACTTAGTTTTATGTAGGTAGCCTATAACCAGCGGACTAATGAGACGCTTCTAATGATACCCCATTTAGCAAATTACTAGCTTTTACCCGCGGCTTCGCTCACGTCACAAAAGGATAAAAAGTGGCCTATGTGACATATACCAATACATACAGCGCCATCTATACCAACACTTTTGTTTTCCCTCGGGAATATCAAATTTTTCCGGGATAAAAAATACCCTATTATTTAATACGGACTTCTAACTTTACGTCTGCAAAAATTCAAAGCAATCGGTTTAGTAGTAACGGTGTGAAAGCGAAACAAACAAACATACTTTCCGTTTTATAAAACGGAAATTATATATGACCTATATGCCCTATATGACCTATATGACCAGAGGCCTTAGTATGAGTTTGTTTTACGATTAAAGTATTCGAAACCAGTACGCGTTCGGCACTCGGTAAATAGTAAAGACTTAATGATGAACATTATGGCAGCAACATAGAGCCGGTCCGCCGGTGGCCCGTGTTGCTCTATGGGCAGCAACAATAATCTAAACATTATTTGGACGAATTTCTTTAAAATTTTATCAATTCGTCTGGAGTGCCATGCCTTAAACGGGCTCCAAATGTTGATATGCGAATTCCAAAAGAGAACGTACATATAAGAACCTTAAGTACAATAACTTTATAGAATCAGCTTTATCTGCTCGTTTAAATTATATTGTTAATAATTTTGACTTGTCAGCCTATTTGAGAGATAGTTTTATTTGCTGGGGCTTTTTTACTTCGGTAGATAATTGATAATTAATTAAATATTATATCATTTTTATGTCATTAATAATTTGATGAACACTGAATTGTAAATACCGCCATCTATGTTTGTGTTCTGACAACTAAGTTGATTTGTAATAGGCGTTTATTGTTATCTCACTCACTCGCATTCGCATCTCATTCGACTCGCTGCCACTTGCTGTCGCCGCTGCTGTCATTTTCATAGTTTCTTAGTTTCTTAAAGTTATTTAACTTTATTGGGCCGCGATGTTTTCCACGCTGTGTCGTTGTTTCTATATTCTAATTTTTTAAGTGTGACAGCGCGGATTCTTTGTCGAAAAATTGAAGTGATATGTGTTAAATTTTTGGCGGTGATTTATTTCTTAGAGTTTTACGAAACCTTGTTTATAAAAGTTTGGTCAATCAAAGTTTACACGGGAGTGGTTGTGCGTGTGTGCGTGTTGTCATGTCTCAGAAAACCTTTTCAATCATCACTTGAACTGGATCAAAGGTTCTTGGTCGGAGCCGGATAAGTGTCTGCGAAAATGGAGCCAAGTTACGTAGGTAAGTGAGACGTGGTAAACGCACGGCGTCACTACCAAGCTGGTAGAGAAAGACCTTGACTAGGCAGAAGTTTAAGTGCAATCTCGTCCGGGTTGTGATGGTGATGCAAGCGCGCCTTGCGCCCGCGCCGGCACCTGCCGCCGCCAAGGCGCCGCGGCCGTCGAGCGACGCAGCACGGTCGCGTTATCTTATCACTCTGTAATGCTGTGTACTTAACCATCAGATAACATGGGTGAACTCACTTCTTTCATTCATTATGCTTGTCTTATGGGGTTCTTATGGTGACATGTCTGCCATACCAATAAGACAAAAGTTGTTCAATCCACTAGCACTGCACAAGTATTACTGATCGTGATTGAACTGTACAGCAACACTCATTGACACAAGTTGATGAGTAACGGCTTATTTATTAGAGTACTGGGATACCTAACTTACTTTCTCAGCTTACCCATGGACAGGGCAAATGAAATAATGTTATTGTGTACTTTTTAAATAAATTGTCAGGGAAATGTGGTATAATCTGAAACAAATTATTAATTACTGAAAGCATTGATGATGAGCATTTGACAAAACAATAATTGTTTTGTTGTTATTTCTAATAGGTACCCTAGGTACCTATACTAGTATAATATAATGTTTAACATTACACCTCAAACTGGGTAACACTGGCTGAGGCTATTGAAATATCAACATTCCGAATTCCAATCAAACTTATATAAATGTGCAAACTGTAAAGAAATCTCAATAGGCTCTCAATTTTTACAAGGCCTCTGAATTTATGCTAGTTGCTGAATTGTTAAGTCAAATTGTTGTGTTCATGATGTCATATAACTGCCAGTGTTAATTGATGTTAGGCAGATATAGAGTTAAGCTGACTTTGAATACTTTTAGAATAAAACTGTAAAATATTAGGTACACATCTAAATGCTAATGTGCTATTTATAAAAGTAAATAAAAATAATACTGGACCATTATTAATAATTGATAGTTATAAATATAGCCTATTTAATGCTTTGTTTCTACAGCTGCATAATATTATTTTTTTTATTTATATGTAGTTAATACTAGCCAGCTATACCCATACAGGTTCACTCACTGTTTGTCTTCTTTGATTTCTTGCTAGTGTGATGTTTTATAGCCTTCCTTGATTCTTACTTAAACTGTCAAACACCAAGTGGTCACCGGTGACCGCAACCTATTGTTCTTTGTGTCTATAATGACGGTACTCGACGAGTTAAATTGTCAAACACCAAGCAGTCACCGGTGACCGCAACCTATTGTTCTATAATTGTGTCTATAATGATGGTACTCGACGAGTTAAAAAGAATTATTAAATTCAATCCAGAAGTTATAGAGATTCATTCAAACTTAATCTTCTGCTTTATATAATTACTAGCTTTTACCCGCGGCGTCACAAAAGGATAAAAAGCCAATGTGACATATACCAATACACACAGCGCCATCTATACCAATACTTTTGTTTTCCCTCAGGAATATCAAATTTTTCCGGGATAAAAAGTACCATATTATTTAATCCGGACTTCTAACTATACATTTGCAAAAATTCAAAGCAATTGGTTTAGTAGTTATGGCGTGAAAGCGGAACAAACAAACAAACTCACTTTCCGATTTATAATATTAGTAAGGATATAAGATATATGATAATCATGAAATACAATAATCTTAAAAGTTAATAATATAATATAAATAATATACCTATTATAAAACAGTTGTAGGACATTTTGTTTTGATTTGTTTTTTGTGCAAGGTCATAGTTACCTACTTACATTATACATTACTAGTTATTACCATTCTCGAAGTTCTAATTATGTCATGCTCCCTAGAAATCATGTGTTTTGTTTTGCAAATGTTTGATCTAGCCTAACCACCTGAGGCTTGGTATTTTGCCCATTACGATAGTAAGAAATTAGAGTGGATGTCATTTAATATCTGCCTCTGGTTACCTTTCCTAAATTATAAAACTACTCTCAACTACTACAGGGGCAAAAACAAAACTGGTTCTGAGTCCCAGTTATTTTGTACTAACTAGGTACCTATTATATTGAAATGGACAATGCTATCACATGACAGAAAGTTACATGAGAGCCATACAGGGTGTACACAGATTGCTCCTGAAAGTTCTTAAAGTAAGGAATTTTTTTTCTTTCATGTAATAATAGTTGTAATCAACTGTTCAAAGCTTATGTGGTTCATGCCACATGCCACAAAAATAAAACACGATTAAAAATTGTTTATTTATTTATTTCAACTTCACACAACAAATGTGTACATGTGACTTAATTTTTTTTTTTTTTTTAACGTTGCCCCGTATTAGGATTTTCTCCTGTGTCGTGGGTGCGTTTACAAACATACAAGTTCACATACACAATGACACTCAGACCCGTAACAACAATTTGTGGATCACACAAAGTGTTGTTCGTGCGGGAATCGAACCCGCGACACGTTGCACGGCAGCCGGTTGCCCGGCCACCGCACCAACCTGACTGCACAGTCTTAATGCCTTGGGCATTGTCTCCAAGTCAAACTTTAAGCAGTGCAGAGATGAAAGTAGCAGGCGATTTGTTTGTTATTATGTGTACAACTAGCTCCTGCTAGCAGCTTCACTCGCATTCATTCGCGTGTGGGATTAAAAGTAGCTTGTGTGTTATTTCAGACCATAATGTACCCCTGTTCATTCAACTCCGTCCCTTAAGCCGTTTAGATGTGAAACAGTAACAAATACACACATACATCCTCACAAACTTCCGCATGTATAATATTTGTAGAATAGTAGCTCAAGTGTGTAACAACATTTATAACTAGTGTTGGACCAAATTATCATAAAGCCATATCCTTTAAACTTCAATAAAAGAGGTAGACAGAGATGTACATACATACACTTTTACAGTATATACAATGGAAAACTGTTTTGATCTGCTGTGTGCGAGTGTCATGTACATACCTAGTTAATATTTGTGCAATTACAAGCATTTCATTCATGTATTTAAGTAAATGTACAAGAGTTATTGACAATGTGTAGATTTCTTCTATGGTATGTGTGTGTAGTGGAATCTTGCAACTAAATTTTGTAGCTGATATCTTCAACTGATGAATTGTCTGTACATGGCATTTATATGCCAAGCTGCATATAAGACTGTTTTTGTAAGCAATACAAAGAGTTAGTCAAATCTGTCCCTAAGTTCTAAAACTTGTTAGTTAAATTATTTTTATGTTACTGTCAGTGGCTTCGCTCGCTTCTATTTTTAGAATCAAATTTCTTTGCGCTAAACAGAAAGAATTTTAATTCATCATTCATCTATTTAACAGTGAATTACACGGGAGTGTTATTATTTTCTTTCTCGTTTTCAATTTTTACGAGATTCTTTTTCAACCTAAGTGCAGTTTCCTAAGATGGCTCACAGCGTGGTCCCGAAAGATGAAAGACACAAAAATTTTGAAAAACAACTGTTTTATTTCTGTTACGTTACTTTTAATCTCAATGTGTAATTTATAGTAGGGGAGCCCATGAAGGGATTTCGGTAGTTACTCGAGCGCGTCAGATTAACATATGGGGAAAAACTAGTGTCCTGTTGAATATACCCACCATATCCGATCTGATTAGAAAGGGGGGACTAAAAATTAAAAAAAAAGTCTGACTAAATAAAGTCAGTTTCGTCAGATTAAGGGAAGGTACGTCAATACCATGCTAAAGGAAGTGTATTTAAAAAATGTGCCCATTCCAACTTGATTTGCAAGAGTGGGGGGATTTTGAAGGGTTCTCGTTGGTACTCTCCAGAACATTCAACTCCACCATGCAAACTGGCAGATTGAGAGTTTTTTATTATCAAAGACACATGAAACATGTACATTATCAATATCTGACACGCTCGACCACTAGAACAAAAGTTACGCGTAACAGATTCAAAGATCTGTGGATTCCCCCTTCCCCCACCGGTGTAAGAAATTGTCACTAAACCATTTTTTCTTTCTATCACCATATTTTTAAAATCCAGTAAGTTCCAACGACGCTCGAATAAATCCAAATTTAGCATCGTGGGCTCCCCTACTATTAATTTTATTTTGTAGTTACTTTTTTATTTTATTGTTGATTTTGTTTTCATAGACTTGAAATGGCACACCATGCATTTTAACTTTACATGAATGCAAAAGATGTCAGTTTACTACGAAGTTTTAAGTTAACAATATTAATTAGTTTAATAAAATACATTTGTAATAATTTTTGGTGACTTCACCTCAATATTACCTATCTAGTGAAATGTGTACAAAATGTATCTTTGATATCTCATATACCTCTACTTAACTTAATTATACTTATATACTACTTTACTATATCAAGCTGAAGAGTTTGTTTGGTTGGTTGTTTTTGTGTTATATTACTTATATTGTATAGTCCATTTATCGAGGAAGGCATAAAACATGACGCTACGATCTATAGGAGCTGAGCAAAGCGGGTCCAACTGCGCGGAAGTAAGTATGTATGTAATGCTGGACAAAAGAGGTAATAGTTCGTCTGTTGTCAACACGTAGTTGTAGCCGTGTATATCTGGCAGTATGTGTTAGTAAGATTGTTGCACTGTGCAGAATCTGTCATGCACCAATTGTGTTCAAGAAAGCTAGGTAGGAAATGTTGCCGAGATCATCTTTCAGCAGATCATATTCTTCCTCATGGAACTTGTTTGGATCTCACAGATTGCACGTATTACACTATAAACATATGCAATAATTCAATGAATCTATATACATTATACATATATATAAAACTGAAACCCGTTTCCCGTTGTCACGCCATAACTTGAGAATGGCTGGACCGATTTGGCTGATTTTTTTTGTTGTTTGTTATTGTCAGGAAAAGGTTCTTATGATAGAAAAAAATCCTGAAAATCTTATGGGAACGGGAGAAAACGGGATTGCGCGTACGAAGTCGCGGGCAGAAGCTAATAGGCAATAAAGATACTTATTGCATTATTGCAATTAGCATC